TTGCTATTGTTTGTAATACATATATATGAATGTATAAAATTGTTTAACATTTCTCCTATGTTATTTGTTAGTTACATTGTTTGAATTTATGTAAAAGAAATATTCATTTCATTCATATTTCTTTTTCTTGAAGAGGGGAAGTGTTATGTATGCAACATATTACATGTATATAATTTATATCTGACCAGTTGGTATTTCCAATATTATCATTGTTCTATTTTTAGAACATAAACTACATGTATGTACTAGAACGTTCTTAACTGTTGTAGAAAACTCATGCATTATATTTAGATAGAAATTTCTGGAATGATCTTTATTGTTGAAGTTGCTAGATTATGATTACTGTAGTAAATGGAAGACTATTCTAGAAACTTCTTAGTTAATATATATAAGGAGACATTTTTCATTAATCTTATCTTTGAAGTCATCAGTGATCTTTTAAGTCATCAGTTATCTTGGAGTATTATTCAACTTGGAAATTAAGTGATTTATTGGAGCTTGGATTATTTTAAAATAGTTAAAATTATTCTTGTGGATTTTATTGTCGGAATTTATTCTAAAGTGTTCTTGGATTTAACTTGGATTTAACTGTGCTATTCAAAAAGGATCATTCCAGGATCAGACTAGACATTTGTAATTTACATTTTTATTTGGACTTCAGGTATTTGTAACATAATTTGTTATTTTATTTTTCTTTAATAATTTTTCTGTAATAAATTTGTTATTGTTACAAGTTTGTTGCTGGCTTTTCTTTCTCGTTACGCCTGGCTCGTAACATATTATAAATGTAACAAATATACAAACAGTATATAAAAATAGCAACAAAAGGGACGAATATAGTAATATTACATGGATTTTTCAAGTCAACTAAAAAAAAAGGTTTCTATTTGTACCTGGGACTTAGTAGTTATATTTCAAGTCCCATATAAATACTGGAAGTAGAACACACACTGGAATGAAAAATTTGGGATGAATTTCAAAAAGACCAAGTTCAGGTATATTTTGTTATACGCGTTAACAAATATTAAAAAGTCATGAATGAATTTTTGCATGACATGTTGATATAGTGAAACATTTGCTTTTACCTGAATTTTAGACAGGTAAGAGGACATTAATTTAAATTATACTACTAACATTATGTTCATGGGAGTCAAATATATAAAAGGTACTTAATAAAGAGCTATTGTTAATTGATTTTTTGGGAGATGAATCTACTATTTTCTTGAATTGCTTCAAAATCATCGTCTGACCCACCAGTGTGTTTACATTCCAATAAATAAACCCAACACTACGGTGTTTCGTTTGGACAATCGCGATTTTTTATTTCGTCTGTACCCGCGATGTACGATGTTACAAAGGCGAAAACGCGATGGTGCGTTGTGAAACACGATGGTACGATGATGAAAACGCGATGGTACGACGCGATAATGAAACCGCGATGGTACGATGGTGAAAACGCGATATAACATTTTCACCATCGTACTATCGCGCCATCGCGATTTCACCATCGTACCACCGCGTTTTCATCATCGTACCGTTGTGTTTTTATTTGTTTGGGTTGTCAGACCAAACAAATAATGGTAGCGAAATTTCAGACCCAGATGCTGTTAATTGCAAATGCCGAAAGTAGTCCGCTTTTTTGAAGCGGTTACTTCCCTTTATATGTGCACTAACGCCGAAAAATTCAGGGGGGATCACTGTGTAAAAGATGGTCAAATGACAGGCGCATTAATTTTCAAGCAAAATAGTTCCCGAATGGTCGAAGATTTCTAATATTGTTTCATTCTTTATAGATATAGTTACATGCTGATAGTAAGCTCCATGATTATTTACATCTGTGTAAAACAACATTTAGCGTCGAAATAATAAGGGTTACAAACCCTAATTTAGAATAATATGGTTTTCTTCAGGCCGTTACCATATAACTTCACCGTGGCCGAGGGGTTTGCGCGCTCGCTTTAGAAAGCGAGAGGTCTGGAGATCAAATCCAAGTTAAAATAACTCTTTTTTTTCAAATTGTTTAAGTCAAATAAACATTGAATTGAATATCAGTGTTTCAATTAGTCTTATAGCCAATTTACTACAATTAAAACGCTGGAAAGCATTGGTGGCATTTTACAAAAACAAATTGGTTCATAATCTCACAACCTTCACCTTTCTGACATTCTGAGACCGAAACAAATCCAGCGCCTTTTGTGCTTTGATTAACTATCGTACCATCGCGTTTTCACCATCGTGCATCGCGGTTACAGACGAAATAAAAAATCACGATTGTCCAAACAGAACCCCTTCAAAACACCTCATGTTAAATATGCAGACGAAAGTTTCTGTTGTTGAAATGTCACAGTATACCATAAAATCGATTGTCTTGAAACAAAATCGAATAAACTTCTTACAGCAAAGTATTGGGAAATAGGGTCGCTTTCAATATTCAGGGCAATCAGGGCCTTAAAAAAAGAAAGGAGCTATTAATTTACCGGAAATATTCTACGGAATCTACAATTTCAAAATGGTAATACTATGATATAAAATTTCGTAAAAAATGTCCTACGTTTATACTAAAAGATAAATTTATAAAGCGTGTAATATATTGTTGAAATGTTAGCATATAATTTCCTGCAAGATTCTCCAGATAGTTATTTGTAACCATAGCGCGACACAAATATTTGTATCGTTTTTAAAAATCAATTTTCACTAATCGGAACGTCTTCGGCTAAGACTTACGGAAAGAGACGACAAGTTGTGATTGTCCTTGCATTCGCGCCGGCCTCAAATGCCACTAATACACGATTTTCATTATACTTCTAAAATATAAGTTCTATAGAGGTATAATGAAAATTATGTTATAGTGTCATATAATTGTTGTTATGAATACAATATGTGAAAATTGACATTAATCTTTTTTTTTTTTTTTTTTTTTTTTTTTTTTTTTTTGGGGGGGGGGTGGGGGTGGGGGGTGGGGGTTGTAATAGGAAATGGAGATAGTTGTGAAGGGGACAGTGGTAGGAGATAATATCAGATCAAAATGTGGTTATGTGATGAAAAATAATATTTCTTTCTGGAACATTTTATTGTCTGCTATATCAATATATTTAATACCGGATCATGTATCTCATACATGCCAAACAACTTCCATATTATACTTTCGTGGTTTGATGCTATGTCTGATATTAAATACTTACAGCGTAATTTTTCATTGTACTACAGACCTTTCATTATAAACCAGTTTACTTTAATGATATGCACCTGTATAGACATAGACACACTGACCTGTATAAACATAGACACACGGACCTGTATAGACAAAGACACACATACCTGTATAAACATAGATACACGGACCTGTATAGACATAGACACATGGACCTGTATAGACATAGTACACTGACCTGTATAGACAAAGACACACAGAACTTTATATACATAGATACACGGACCTGTATAGATACAGACACACTGACCTGTATAAACATAGACACACGGACATTTATAGACATAGACACACGAACCTGTATAGACAAAGACATACGTACCTGTATAGACATAGACATACGTACCTGTATAGACACAAACAAACGGACCTGTATAGACATAGACACACGGACCTTTATAGACATACACAAACGGACCTGTATAGATACAAACACACTGACCTGTATAGATACAGACATACTGACCTGTATAGATACAGACACACGGACCTTTATAGACATACACACACGGACCTGTATAGATACAAACACACTGACCTGTATAGATACAGACACACGGACCTGTAAAGACAATAGACACACGGACCTTTATAGACATAGACACACGGACCTGTATAGATAAAAACACACGTACCTGTATATATACAGACACACGGAACCTGTATATACATAGACACACGGACCTTTATAGACATAGACACACGGACCTGTATAGATACAAACACACTGACCTGTATAGATACAGACACACGGACCTGTATATACATAGACACACGGACCTTTATAGACATACACACACGGACCTGTATAGATACAGACACACGGACCTGTATAGATACAAACACACTGACCTGTATATACATAGACACACGGACCTTTATAGACATACACACACGGACCTGTATAGATACAAACACACTGACCTGTATAGATACAGACACACTGACCTGTATAGATACAGACACACTGACCTGTATAGATACAGACATACTGACCTGTATAGATACAGACACACTGACCTGTATAGATACAGACATACTGACCTGTATAGATACAGACACACGGACCTTTATAGACATACACACACTGACCTGTATAGATACAAACACACTGACCTGTATAGATACAGACACACTGACCTGTATAGATACAGACATACTGACCTGTATAGATACAGACACACGGACCTTTATAGACATACACACACTGACCTGTATAGATACAAACACACTGACCTGTATAGATACAGACATACTGACCTGTATAGATACAGACACACGGACCTTTATAGACATACACACACGGACCTGTATAGATACAAACACACTGACCTGTATAGATACAAACATACTGACCCTGTATAGATACAAACACACTGACCTGTATAGATACAAACACACTGACCTGTATAGATACAGACATACTGACCTGTATAGATACAAACACACTGACCTGTATAGATACAAACACACTGACCTGTATAGATACAAACACACGGACCTGTATAGATACAGACACACTGACCTGTATAGATACAGACATACTGACCTGTATAGATACAAACATACTGACCTGTATAGATACAGACATACTGACCTGTATAGATACAAACACACTGACCTGTATAGATACAAACATACTGACCTGTATAGATACAAACACACGGACCTGTATAGATACAGACACACTGACCTGTATAGATACAGACATACTGACCTGTATAGATACAAACACACTGACCTGTATAGATACAAACACACTGACCTGTATAGATACAGACATACTGACCTGTATAGACATAGACACACTGACCTGTATAGATACAGACACACTGACCTGTATAGATAAAGACACACTGACCTGTATAGACATAGACACACTGACCTGTATAGATACAAACACACTGACCTGTATAGATACAGACACACTGACCTGTATAGATACAGACATACTGACCTGTATAGATACAGACACACTGACCTGTATAGATACAGACACACGGACCTGTATAGACATAGTACACGGACCTGTATAGACATCGACACACTGACCTGTATAGATACAAACACACTGACCTGTATAGATACAGACACACTGACCTGTATAGATACAGACATACTGACCTGTATAGACATCGACACACTGACCTGTATAGACATAGACACACTGACCTGTATAGATACAGACACACTGACCTGTATAGACAAAGACACACGGACCTGTATAGATACAGACACACTGACCTGTATAGACATAGACACACGGACCTGTATAGATACAGACACACTGACCTGTATAGACATAGATACACGGACCTGTAAAGATACAAACAAACTGACCTCTATAGATACAAACACACGGACCTGTATAGATATAAACACACTGAACTGTATAAACAGATAAATGGACCTGTATAGATACAGACATACTGACCTGTATTGACATAGACACACGGACCTGTATATATACAGACACACGGACCTTTATAGACATAGATACACGGACCTGTATATATACAGACACACTGACCTGTATAGACATAGACACACGGACCTGTATAGATACAGACTTACTGACCTGTATAGACATAGACACACTGACCTGTATAAATACAGACTAACTGACCTGTATAAATACAGACACACTGACCTGTATAGATACAGACATACATGGACCTGTATAGACATAGACATACGGACCTGTATAGATACAGACACACGGACCTGTATAGATACAGACACACTGACCTGTATAGACATAGACACACTGACCTGTATAAATACAGACTTACTGACCTGTATAAATACAGACACACTGACCTGTATAGATACAGACATACTGACCTGTATAGACATCGACACACTGACCTGTATAGACATAGACACACGGACCTGTATAGATACAGACACACGGACCTGTATCGACATACATACACGGACATGCATATATACAGACACACGGACCTGTATAGATACAGACACACGGACCTTTATAGACATAGATACACAGACCTGTATATAGATGCAAACACACGGACCTGTATAGACATAGACACACTGACCTGTATAGATATAGACACACTGACCTGTATAGATATAGACACACTGACCTGTATAGATATAGACACACTGACCTGTATAGATATAGACACACTGACCTGTATAGATATAGACACACGGACCTGTATAGATATAGACACACTGACCTGTATAGATATAGACACACTGACCTGTATAGATATAGACACACTGACCTGTATGGACATAGACACACGGACCTGTATAGATACAGACACACGGACCTGTATAGATACAGACACACTGACCTGTATAGACATAGACACACTGACCTGTATAAATACAGACTTACTGACCTGTATAAATACAGACACACTGACCTGTATAGATACAGACATACTGACCTGTATAGACATCGACACACTGACCTGTATAGACATAGACACACGGACCTGTATAGATACAGACACACTGACCTGTATAGATACAGACACACTGACCTGTATAGACATAGACACACTGACCTGTATAAATACAGACTTACTGACCTGTATAAATACAGACACACTGACCTGTATAGATACAGACATACTGACCTGTATAGACATCGACACACTGACCTGTATAGACATAGACACACGGACCTGTATAGACATAGACACACGGACCTGTATAGATACGGATACACTGACCTGTATAGATACAAACACACGGACCTGTATATACATAGACACACGGACCTTTATAGACATAGACACACGCACCTGTATAGATAAAAACACACGTACCTGTATATATACAGACACACGGACAACTATAGATACAGACACACGGACCTATATCGATACAAACACATTGACCTGTTAAGACATATATACATGGACCTGTATAGATACAGACAGACGGACCTGTATAGATACTGACACACGGACCTGTATAGATAAAGATACACTCTGACCCGATTATACATAGACACACGGACCTGTGTAGATACAGACAGGCTGATCTGTATAGACATCGACACACGGACCTGTATACATACAAACACATGGACCTGTATAGATACAGACACACGGACCTGTATAGACATAGATACACGGAACTGTATAGATACAGACACACTGACCTGATTATACAGAGATAGATACACGGACCTGTATAGATACTTTGGTGTTGCCTGTTAAGACATATATACTTGGACCTGTATAGATACAGACAGACGGACCTGTAAAGATACAGACACACGGACCTGTATAGACATAGATACACGGACATGTATAGATAAAAACATACGTACCTGTATATATACAGACACAAGGATCTCTATAGATACAGACACACGGACCTATATAGACATAGATACATGCACGGAAATGCATAGATACAGACACACTGACCTGTATAGACATAGACGCACGGACCTGTATAGATAAAAACATACGTACCTGTATAGATACAGACAGACGGACCTGTAAAGATACAGACACACTGACCTGTATAGATAAAAACATACGTACCTGTATATATACAGACACAAGGATCTCTATAGATACAGACACACGGACCTATATCGATACAAACACACAGATACATGGACCTGTATAGATACAGACAGACGGACCTGTATAGATACAGACACTCTGACCTGATTATACAGAGATAGATACACGGACCTGTATAGATACATTGGTGTTGCCTGTTAAGACATATATACATGGACCTGTATAGATACAGACAGACGGACCTGTATAGATACAAACACACGGACCTGTATAGACATAGATACACGGACCTGTAAAGATACCGACACTCTGACCTGATTATACATAGATACACGGACCTGTATAGATACATTGGTGTTGCCTGTTAAGACATATATACATGGACCTGTATAGATACAGACAGACGGACCTGTATAGATACAGACACACTGACCTGTATAGATACAGACAGACGGACCTGTATAGATACAGACACACGGACCTGTATAGACATAGATACACGGACCTGTAAAGATACAAACAAACTGACCTCTATAGACATAGACACACGGACCTGTATAGACATAGATACACGGACCTGTAAAGATACCGACACTCTGACCTGATTATACATAGATACACGGACCTGTATATATAGATACTTTGGTGTTGCCAAGGAAACCTCCCGGAAAGCTAAGATCTCAGTTTAACAGTAGTTCTAGCTTTCAAAACGTTATAAGCCGCTTTTTTATCATTTTTTCTTTCGTTTGATGCGTCATGTCATAATATATAAATGTGTACGCTGAAAACCTTAAGCTCTCTTTGACAGCATACACGTTTGCAAATAGACTTAAAAGCTTTTACAAGACTACTACGCATCAACTCTCCGTGCTTTGCTCACGCGTTACTACTGTACCGGAAGTTACTGCTGCCATTATGTAGACTTGTCGCGCCTTGTATAAATATTAAAGTGATTCTAGGTCAGACATGTTCTTTTCACTTATCCTGGTAATTTGTTGACTAAATAATAATGTTTTCTTATTTAATACACTTTATATCCCAGTAAAAACTATAAATATACATATCCAGAAAAGCGTAACAGGGAAAAAATGAAAATGAGATCAAGAATACCCCTATTTTCCCCCTATTTCCATACTGTTAACTGCATGATTACAGACATAAAAAAGAACATTTTTCTTATTAATTTGAATCAAACTTTTAAATCAATTTTTTACACTTTAATGATTTAAAAAATTTAAACGTTAATTAGTGGTGAATTGTTTGTTATTGAGGTTGACTGTAAGCAATTAGTTATGAAGCCATTATTGCCCCAAAAGAAGTTGAAGTTCTTGTTAATAAATATCTCATGGGAAAAACGAATAATTTTCATAACAAGTTTTTTTGTATTTTTGAAATGCATTTATTCCATAAAAGCAAAATAGTGCTACAAACATTAAACATGTAAACAAATATTGATTAAATGCTGGGAGTTAAAGTCTTAGATTATTCCATTACATCACGTAAAAGTCAGTAAACAGTGCATTATTTATAAAACTTATCATAATGCTTAAAGAAACCGGAAGCACAAGTGTTTGTTTCTTGACTTAATTTCGGATTTGGTCATAATAATATATTACATCAATTGTCTTTTTTATATTGATTATAATTGTCAGACATTTTTCAATCGTAATTTTTATCAAAGTATACTTTATTTTCCCCTGGTGTCAAATGTATACACATTCGGCATATTTATGATGTCACGAGTAGAACTGTTTTTAAATCTGAAATAAGCCTGGGATTATTATGAATAATCATCGAAGTGTTCCGATTAGCAGTCATTCATTTTTGCAGAGAATGGCACCAAGAGCTCACTGCACGTTTCTAATGTCGCTTTTCATTGGATAATCGTGACGTTTATATAGTTAAATGTCGATTCATTAAGAAATCTTACTTTTTTCTCTAAAAAATGATGCGAGCTGTATTATAAATTCGTTATAAAGATTGTTGACAGGATATATGGACATAACCTGTCAACAATCTTTATAACTAATGATATATATATATATATATACATGTATATATGTGAGTAAAAATCTTATAAAAATATAATTTACTTTAAAGCTTTGGAAAACTCGTGTTTTGGTCTGACCCCTTGTAACATATAATACAATGCTAAAGCAGATGTTTAATGTTAACAATCAGCAAACAAGAGCAATAATACTGCAGAATATAACGACGACAATTTGTGTATTGTGGATCTGTTCCACCCCAGCTATTTGCCCACAACGATCTATGTTTTCATTCGTTTGTTTCTCAATCCACTTATCAACTTCATTCTCTAAAACGCTTAGCGGCATGGCTCCATTTCCTATTATAATACTATGGAACGCTTTTATGTCAAATAAATTACCTGGAAAAGAACAAGGTCTTGTTAATTCCCTAATACTTCACTCTTTTGAGGTAACATGAAAGCTTTTTGGGTCAAAATTAAAAGTCAAACTTAATGCCCTGAAAAAACATGGGCGTTATATAACGTACAATCAACTGTTATGTAAAAAATGCAACAAATGCGTAACTTACAAGTATGAAATGTAATCGGAAGTTTACTTAGAGCCTCTGAGGCATACATTGAATAAAATATGAACACCTCCATTGTACGTACATAGGCTATCTTCAGCTTTTTCTCTCAGCTCTTGTATCTTAATTTTTCCAATCATGTAAGTTGTCGCCTGAGCTGGCCATGTTGAGTAACGGTCGATTTCCCGCGCAATCATTTCCGGTGCGAACGCTGTGTAATTTTTCATGTATTCAATAGCATGGTCACGTGTCCAGCTGAAACAGCAATGGTAAAATTAAAAGTAAAATAATCAAAGTTATATATTTTATGTTTAGCTTTTAAAAATACTTTATTCTTGATAACATATAATGATTATGAACAAATATAAATTCAACAAACTCGAGTCTAGCCTTCACATCAATGATCAATTTTACTACACTGATAGAACTGGTTTAACCTAATGACATGATTTGTCCTGCCTAAATGATAACTCGACCAATATGTAAAATGGCTCGTAAGTAACCTGACCTTCTCAACATTTTTTACTTATTAGTACTAGAAAACGTTTGTTACTTCACATACTTATTGCTGGACCATTGTTAGTCAAACAAAAGTAGACCCTGACCAATGCTTTGATGCAAAAGAGAAATACAACAATAAAATCATTATGTCTAATACTTTGGAGGTAATCAAGTATCCGACCAATTCGTATCTTACTTTTTCAAGATATACCTTCTGATACAATTTAATTCCTATTTTAAACAAACATATTTAATTATAAAAATAAATTTCATAGCGGTCATTTATCAAAGGTTGATGCATTTACACCTCCTTAACGGGTTTTTTGTCGGACTTATATTAGTTATTAATTTACGAGGAGAGGAATGTATTTGGAAATGTACCTTTTAGCATGTATTCCTGTATCCACAACAAGTCGAGCAGCCCGAAATATTTCTAAACCATATTTACCATACCTTGAAAGTAATTTTAGCTTTACTCAAGTCATAGAATATTTGATACAATCCAGTTTTATATTTAATACGACAGTGCAAGCCAGTGACACTTTTATAAATGTTTATATATTTTATAATTTAGAAGAGTTTCCCTATAGCGACAAGACTTTTCCAGTACTTTCACAGAAATGTGCCGGAATAAAGACTTAAGAAATAAAACTCTGATAAAAAAAAATATTTACAGAAATAAAACTATAATAAACATAATATGTTTATATATTATTTATATTTGACAGTAGAAAATGAAGTGAGCTATTAACTCTGTTTTACCTAGAAACATAGACATTGCACTGTTCGAGTTTGTTGTCCATATCGATTGGTGCTTCTGCATAAACACACAGGAACAATTATCATTGTTTATATGGAAATAATACGAAAATAATGGAAACCATATTTGAATAAAAGTTTAAGCATTGTAGCTGCTTAGATTTAAGCTAACCTTTCAAGGTCATTTTTATACATGTCCATTTCCTCTCCCAAATCTTCCGAATAAAGACCCCATCCCTGAAATAGCAATTAATATAATAATGAATTTATACTTGTGATAAAGTCTTCGTGTATTTATTCTACTTTAATGGTATAAACTATAAAGCTATGTTGTAAGCTGTCGGTAAAACAGTTTGTATCATGATTACATAAATTGAAGGAATAATACGACGTGTTTGTAGATTATGCCTGGTATTAATTTACCTCAGAATAGCCTGTGTAGAACGGGAAGTGGAGGGGAACAGCGAAGTATTTAGAGAAATCTGTAACTTTCCGGAACAGTGGTATATTATTGGAAGCTTGGGCGTAGGAATCTTGGAGATGATGTCCCGGATCTGACTCGTGAAGAAGCAATGCCTTCATGTCAAATTTTGGTCTTAAAAAGAAATATAAGACAACATATTAAATAATGATCACTGTCGGATACTATTTTTCATTTTGGAAAAATCGGCGACATGTGTAACGACAATAATTTAGTCTTGAATATTGCGTATGATTCGGACGAATTGGTTTATTTCAGATGAATGTATCTGTAGTTAAAGAAATACTTCAACAATTGATTGTAATAAGAAATAGAAATATTTCGGGGTAAATAATAAGACGTTTATTAACTTACACCTTCGAATGAACGTTAGCTAGGAAAACACCTGGTCTCGAACCATCAGGGGCAGCGTTCTTGTAGATACCGGCTGGTCCATTGTATGGCATCTTCTCAATTCTAGAAGGTAATTAAATTCATAAATTCGTGAACTGCTGTAAAACAAAGTTCTTCTTCTAAAAATCAAGTTAAGCTGATTTCCATCGCTGTATGATTGAACTTGAAAACAATAATGTTCTAGTTTTTAATGTAATTATGATTTTGTTCAGGAAAGGATGAAGAATTTTGTTTTTATTGAACGCATTTGTCTGTATAATACTGAATTTGTTTATTCTGTTTTGTATTTTCAATCATAAACTCAATACCATAATGTGATAGGTTTAAAGCTGTCTTGGACGTTTGATTTCTATAGCTTCTTAAAAAAAATGGTATGTCTCCGGATGATTAGAATCATTCTTTAACAATTCAAAACATAGAAGAAGTACATGTTTATTAACGGTTTAAGAAATTATTGATAATGTAAGTGAAACTAAAATAATGAAATTTTTTTACTGCTTTAACAATATTCTATCTGATTATAATAGTGGGAGAGAATGATCACAATTTTAACTCATTGGTAGAATTTTCAAGAACTGATTCAAATCTGGAAGCATGTTGTTGTGTTGTGGTACATATATGTACTTACCATGTGATATTACAACTATATTAGGTATAAATGAGTATATCCTCGATAGTCATATATTCTATGGACGACGATATTAAAATTTATACTAGGATGAAAAAAGTCGTTACGGTATTTTCCGTCATTACAGTTACATATATATTTTTTTATATGAACTTACTGTAATGGTGAGTCTGGTATATCATCAAATAGTTTATGTAACTCGGGTACGATCATAGTTTGGTAAATATCCTTAAATTTCTGTAATGCTTCATCCTTTGAAAATAAAGTTAAAAAGTTTAAGTTATGATTACCCTCAAAATTATATTATTATTAAATACATATGCATTGTAGTTTTGTACAAGATAGTAAACAAGAGCTGTTGGTAGGACAACAACGCTCGACTATTCTTAGTGCTTGATAGTAAAAATAATGCTTGATACAGTTACCCCCTCCTGTTTACAGGTTTGGGTCATGATGGTGAACAAGTGTGCAAAGTTTCAAAGCCATATGTCAATGGACTTTGAAAATATTTGAACTATTACAAAAACTTTAACGTAAATTCTAAGTAAAAAAAGGGGCATAATTCTGTCAAAATGCTTGATAGAGTTACCTCCTTCTGTCTACAGGTTGGGGTCATGATGGTGAACAAGTGTGCAAAGTTTCAAAGCCATATGTCAATGGACTTTGAAAATATTTGAGGTATTATAAAAACTTTAACATAAATTCTAAGTCGAAAAAGGGGCATAATTCTGTCAAAATGCTTGATAGAGTTACCTCCTCCTGTCTACAGGTTGGGGTCATGATGGTGAACAAGTGTGCAAAGTTTCAAAGCCATATGTCAATGGACTTTGAAAATATTTGAACTATTACAAAAACTTTAACATAAGTGGTTACGCCAACGCCGACGCTCGGGTGACTACAATAGCTCTACTTATTCTTATCGAATAGTCGAGCTAAAAAACTAAACTGATCCGTGTCTTATCATGTCTTAATTATCCGATCAGGAGATAAAATTCAAAATCGACAACATACACTTTCACATTGATAACATAAGAAACTCTAAAACAAGAATATCCGATTCGTATATTTTGATATAAACTTGAAGTTAAGACTAATATCATTTCGTCACTACAGTACAATTAATGAACTGCAAATATTTGAAGATTTAAGCAGGGTCTATCAAGTAGATTGGGTCTGGAAACGCACTATGTAAACCCTTCTCGCTACAATTAAACATGTCTCGGTATAAGTCGGTATACATGTGGTTTGCTTTACGCGAACTATGTAAGTGTTCAAGAAAAGGGCGAAAATTAAATACAAGAGCAAAAAATTCTATTTGAAAGACCCTGATTAAAGTGATAAAACTCACCCCGTTAGATATAAATAAACTTTCATTTTGTCTCAAATAATCATTATACTCCCGTACAGTACCGTTGAAGTTTGCTCTTCTCACAATCTGAATGAAAATACAAAAATATTAGTTTGTAACACTTTGGCACTTTAAAAAAATACGGTTTGCGTTTCAAAAGATGATGTTCATTTACATTTTACATAAGTAAACAAGTTACATTAAGTGCATATTTCCACTAAGAGTAGGTGCTAAGGGCTGGTCACTCTCATAAAGAGACGAGTCAACGATGTTTACTAATATTCAAGGCTCTCGAATAAGATGTGCAAAATCAAATGACTATTTGGTATCCCATTAATATTTATATTCACACCTATTTTCAGTTACAACTTTGTCAGAGGGCACACGACATGGTGGTTGGTATCCATTTTATGCCTCGAAAACTATTATATACTGCAAGGGGCAGGACGTGAAGTGGTTGCACACTTGGTTCAAGCGAGCGATTTGGTTGCAAACTTGACAAAATGGCGAACACTGTGTGATTTTTTGAAACGGGTGAACTAATTTTTGCCAGGCAAGTGGGTTTCTTTGTAATTTTGAAGTTCATTAGTATGTCTATTCCATAATGCAATATATATGCCACACTCGGTTAAAGGTTTCAGCATCCTAGATTCTGTTTTGACGAAGTTATTGAAGATATAAACTGATCATGTAGATATTTTGAAATATGACATGTGACTGTTCTGGTCCGTTTTTCTCCTAATTTATTCAAATTTGTAAGTTATGAACTGCATTTAACAATAACAAAATATGTTTCTGTCAATGCTGTACAAATGGTTTAGTTCGCAAGCCCGAAGATAACGTTCAATATACAAAAAATATCTTGTTCAAGCACATTTTGGTTGCAGGCTTAAACTTAAGCATTTTTGGTTGCAAACTTTTGTGTCAATAATGTGGCATGTATATTTTTAGCGAGGAATTACTTATCATTTTTTTTTAAATAATTAGCAATATTTTGACAATTTTACCCGTTCATCTTATAAGAAATATATATTCAAATGGTGCATGCGTGCAGATATATCCTAAGTAACACAGGGTCTTTCAAATAGATATAAAACACAATGTGCTAAATTGAAGTTCAGTTGTGTTTATCTTCATCATTTTTTCTCCTCGATATACTTCTTTTCTTTTTACAAAGTTTTAGGACTTTTTTTATATCTTGGCATGACTATAACTGTAAAGGAAAAAGAAGAAAAAAATAGCAACAAACAGCTTTCATTATTGTCCTTTTTTGAGATTTGCAATAAATTTGATTATATAGTTGATAAAAACTATATTCACATTGACACAAGGGCATTATTCACATGTTTCTTTAAAGTGTTCCTTATTATTGGCCAATCGAAACATCTCCCAAATTCCCTAACTCGAACAATGACTTTAAGTAGTTTTGTCACGTATCGGTCAATGTAAATAACCAATCGTATATCTAATAATGAAAATCATCTTTAGAATACCAATTGACATATGATATACATCAAATCCGAAATACATGTATTGTTAACAAGCATGTCATTACTTTTTGTTTGTAAAAATATTTTAAGTACATTTACATACTTTATGTTTAAAGCAACTGCTGATCTTTACATACGAAACAAACAAATTAACATTTCTTGTGGTTTTGATAAACTTTGGAAATTTTGCCGAGTAACTTCGTATGTGTGCACATGTCCTCATGTTTATGATGAAAATAATTCACTTACATACAACAGTACTCTCACATACGTTTGTTTTGTATGAAGTTTTCATTTGCATTTTACATATGATGACATATTTTAGAATTGAAGTATCAATAAATATTTTTGTATATGCTACTATTTCATTTGCAGGCTTTTACTGATGATTATAGTATTGAACTAAGAACCATGTAATTTGTAACATAAAGTGCATAATTATTGTAAAAGAAGAAAGTATAAATAACATTATAACAAAAACAAGTAACAGAACATAAATGCCAATAATTGCCATTGAAAATAGGTTAATAAATATAACCTTCTACACTCCTTTTGCAAAGTTTTACTATGGATTTCAATAGAATAAGAATAAGTTTGCAACCAAAAATGCTTGAAGTATAAGTCTGCAACCAAAATGTTTTGTATTTTTTGTATATTGAACGTTATCTTCGGACTTGCGAACTAAACCATTTGTACAGCATTGACAGAAACATATTTTGTTATTGTTAAATGCAGTTCATAACTTACAAATTCGAATAAATTAGGAGAAAAACGGACCAGAACAGTCACATGTCATATTTCAAAATATCTACATGATCAGTTTATATCTTCAATAACTTCGTCAAAACAGAATCTAGGATGCTGAAACCTTTAACCGAGTGTGGCATATATATTGCATTATGGAATAGACATACTAATGAACTTCAAAATAACAAAGAAACCCACTTGCCTGGAAAAAATTGGTTCACCCGTTTCAAAAAATCACGCCGTGTTCGCCGTTTTGTCAAGTTTGCAACCAAATCGCTCGCTTGAACCAAGTGTGCAACCACTTCACGTTCTGCCCCTTGTACTGGATATCTTTTCTTTTGCTAACATTTAATATAAAAGTGACTCCATACGTGTATAATAAGTGATATGGTTACACTGTTTCTACCATGTAATTAAATTGACCTTTTCGAAAACCGAGCTAAACACCGTTATTATAATGAGATATTTCCATTTTCCTATCATTATTTTACCGTTTATGGTGGAAAAACTTGATGTGTTTGAAAATTATTAATGTTCCTGTACTATCTATCGCAAATTTTCCAAAAAAAAGTTATTTATAATAAAAACAGTCGTTGTTGCATCTGTCATAATAGATAGAGATATTTTTGCAGAAACTTATGTATTTACTTTATTTGTTGTATTGAATTATTCATACAGCGATATTTAATTATTTTCTTAGAAAGAAATATTTTTTTCCTAAAAAATACCAAAAGCATACATATCGTTACTATACACGCCCTATTAGGGTGTCACCCCGGTACGGAATTAGACCGTGCCCGTTGTAGTCTAGAAAGTAGTTCTTTTAAATTTTGAAGTGGCCCATTTCAAGTAATCTTTGGTAAGACTGATTACATTTTAAGTATATTTTTTTATGCGCCAGTCTAGACCCCAGTTGTTATTTGGTTTATTTTTCTAGTGCTTACACAAATTAAAAGCTGCAGAAAAAGTCCAAGGGCTAATGCATTATTTTTTGTGCTAAATTTAGTTGGGTAGTACTGTTATTGAAAGTTTTAGCCACCAAATGCCTGTACAGGATATGCTAGTCTTAGATGTGATGGATTTACTATAGGATATATAGTACGAAAATTCAGTGGGTCGTCTCCTTAGGTGATTTCCCAAGAGCTGTGTACAGAAAGTATCGGACAACGGCGTTTAGCTAGGTTTTCGAATTCGTGAATAGATAGATATATGTATTACATTTTGTATTTCACGGTTGACCCTGTTGACCTCACTTATTCCTTTCTCGTGAATTTCATCAGGAGTCATATCAACAGAGAGTTGCCACTTTAAACAGGCCTTGTAGTAATCCAAGCCTTGTGGGAAACCTTCAACACCAAATGTCGATCGTGTATTGAGCATGTACGTCTGAAAACATACAAACATTTGTATTCCTTTTACAAGCGTAGTAGCTCTTGCACCTTTTCCTTTATGCTTGCAGAATGTTTTCTGTGCGGCAATATTTTGATAAAAATATGCGTAATAATTACTTCAAACATATCGGGAAATATAAGAGCGACAATGAAAAATATTCTTATCTGAAAATGGTGTATGTTTATTAATCAAATATTTGAAAGATAGAACGAAATCTTAGCAAAGACCATTAGCGGTGACCAAATGCTACCGTGTGACCACCCATTCTGAATATACACGGTGGCACAGCCATAAATTGTTTCCGATGAAATATTGACATAAAGCATTACTTGGGATGCATTTTGAATATATATATAAGTACACTTCTTGAACTCTTCAGACATTTTTAAACAAACTTCGGTTAATTGACTAAAGACTTGCAGCGTTTACTCTTTAAGATTCGTCCATAATATTTAAATGTTTTGGTGTAATAAAGTAAATACATTTGTTATAAAATCCGCCATTTTCTTAATCTGGTTCAGAAGAACTTTAATATTGTCATCAGCAACTTTTCGTATATTTGAAGTCCTGAAAATAAAAATAAAAACACTGCATTTATCAAAACACAACTGATGCTGTTAAAGTAATATTTTGAGATGATTCATTTATATACAGTTCCAAAACAAAATCCAGATTTCTCGAACAAATAAATTAATAAACTTATTGTAAATATGGTTGTCAAATAAACAACATGTTGAGATTATGACAGTCTCTCTTCTTAACAAATCATCATTTTAAAGACTTGCGAATAAGAATTTAGTCTTTGTTTTTCATTAGTATTAGTGTGGTACCTACATTTCTTCCAGGAATAAAAACTTTATAATTATTTTAAGATGAAAAAGCTCATACATTTTACAAGAACAAGTTTCATTGTGAATTTTAGTGTACAAAATGTTTCTAGTTACTCCTGTTTCTATAGGCATATGACCTAATGTCAGCAATGAAAGTGGCCAATGTATAATCCTTGTTTGTCACAGTTAAATGTCTTGATACCAACGGTGAAAAGAATATTTAATTTAAGCAGCGTGTCTCCAGATTTATCCTTATTTTCACGAAAATTAAAAAAAAATGTATTTAAAAGTAAAATATTATGAACGGAACATACAAAGTAATTTACACCTTGGAAACGGCAATTACAATCCACGTAAATAACAATAAAGTTCAAATTATGCAAATATAGCCCTAACATTGTGTTAGTCACGCAGTAGAAATAAAGAAGTAATACATTACTCAAAACCAGTCATCAATCGCACAAAACATGTAAAATATTACAGTATTATTTTAACTTTTCTAAAATCTTACTACATGTAAATTTTCACAAGTTTGATTTTTTAAAAATTTAAACTCATTTGGAGGCATTCAGCTTTCATTGACCTGCATTTCTTTATAAAGTAAATGATTTTTAAAAAGAAATGCACATACGTAGTTACGTTTGTCAAAACAACGTCCAGCCTGTCTTGGAAGGGTTTAAACATTGGAAATGCTGTTCTGTTAGACATATATAAAGTGTAAATCTCGTTTAATTGCGAAGGGACTTTCTCCTGTAAAAAACAATATATATGTATATATTAAAGCTAATCATATTATCATGACAGACCTATGTTTAATAATGTATTTTATTTGTATTTCAATAATAAATTTACAGAAACAAAAGTGTTGTACATGTATATGAAATAAGTCTTTGTATAAGAAGCAAAATGTGAAGCGATATTTTGTCGTCTGTGTAGAGTACAAACGTACTATAACTGCGTTTTGTGAAAAGCTTTTAAATTGCAACACAAACAGCAAAAGCTTTTGTGAAAGAAGTAATAATTTAATATATTTAAAATAAGCCTGTAAGATTCAAATAAAGCATACTCTGGACTCGGATTTCAGCGGTTCATTTTAGCATCTACCATAAAATAAGTTCAGTGTTATCAACATATTATGCATGTCACCATTCAATTATGTACTTCGCCACAACATATTTGAATCTTCAGAATTAAATACATAATTATATTAAACAGATGTGATGGGGAGGGAATTTGTATTTTACTGTCAAATATACAGTACACGGTGTATACTACGAATCAGTGATTATTTTTCACTTTACGTACAAAAAACTGAACAAAAAAATAAAGAGAACAAAAACAACAACAAAAAAACCCAGATCGAACACAATTTATCCTCGAAATATCGGAATATTATATTTAATGAAAAAGGTATACAGTAATAACCTGTTTTTTACTAACATATAAGTAATAGAAAGAGCACCGAAACACGAGGCTATCTGATTTGTACGAGGGGGCGTAGCCCCCGAGTATAAATTAGATTGCCGAGTGTTTTGGTGTTCTTTATCTTTTGTATCATAGTCAAACATAAAAGCACGTTCCCTGTATCACAATATGAAACCCCGGCAAAAATGAACCAATGAACGAATATCTGGATATGACATTTCTGTCGCTTTCCCTTTCTCTGCCGTCACAATATGTAAACCCCAGCAAAAATGAGCCAATCAATGGGCATGCTCTGGAGTGCGGGTAACTAATACCCGCACTCCAGTTAACGCACTGTGCATGTATATTTATACGATTTAACCCTGACACATTTTCAACAGAAAGGTCTCCAAACTATGATACAATAAAGTAATTACATACGATAGAAGCTCGGTGATACGTAGTTCCCATCTCTATAGCTTTCTTCATTCTCACAATTATCTGGTCAATCTGTTAGTAAACAATATAGATAGGTCAAACAAAGATAGATCAAACAATTCTCTAAAGGAAACAAAGTTCACATAAAGAAACTGAATGTTTTAACACAATCTTATTTTTTTAATTCAAAGTAAGAGAATAAAAAATCACTAAATGCTGTGCTATTAAATATACCCTGGATTTTTAATTTCATGTACATAACTACGTGTTGTCTCTAATAATTAAATAAAATTCTATTGTGTTTATCTCCCTTGTTAAACTGTGTTATCCTTTGACTCAACTGTAACTTCTTGCAGAAAGTGTAACAAATATTTTGTCACCGACATGTCATTATCAGTAAAATCTATGTTAAAGCAGTAAAATTTACTCCTATCGTCCTATTATTATTATCTAATGTACATAATTTCGTTTAACCCCACATGACGACTGCTTTCAAAGATCCGCCAATTGCCTTTTAACCTACTTGTTGGATATGATTCAACAGCATCAATATAACGTTTCATTTAAAGTTATTGCTTCCCTTGAAAATGTAGAACATGTTCAGTACGAACTTATTTGCTTCAAATCTTGACGAAGCTGGACAGAAATGTTTACTTGCAAACATTTTGAGAAAAAAAAGTATTTTTGTCGTTACCTGTTCTCCATAGTTAAATATTCTTTGAGCAAACATTTTAAAGTCCTCCTCCCGTTCAAACTTGACTTGTTCTGCCCGGGAGCCGTAGTTTGTCTGTATGCCTTCCAAAATGCTCACTGGATTCATTGGTCCATAACTGAAAAAATAACTATGCAATCATTCTTAAACCGCCTCCGTGGTCGAGTGGTTAGAGCCGATGACTTCTAATCCAGTTACCTCTCTGGCGTGGGTTCGATCCCCGGGAGATGCTTTGGTAGTTTAGCACGGAGGAAGGTAGTCTAGTACTGGTGTAATTATCCAGGAACGATGGTTAGGAAACTACCCGCCTATTTGACTGAAATACTGTTGGGAAAAAGGCGTAAAATGAAACAAACAAACGAACATTTCATTCTTTGTAAGAAAGGTTTTGACATGATTGAAATATGGTCATAGCACGGTTTATGTTGTTTTTGCCAATGGAAAACTTAAAAATCATAAAATTTGAGCAGATTTGTTTAACAGGCCCTTAGCAGTAAAAGTAATCAAGAATTATCATATGTATAAAATAAGTTTTAAGTAATTTACAATCTCCATTTGTATCCATCCGCCCATGTTTGAATAGTGCCCTTCAAGACTTCAAAGGTTACGTGCTCAGCAGACGACAAACTGTTTTTGTTTACACTACTCAGACGTTGCAAAAAATTGTCAATGTCCGTCTAAAATTAAAGATTTAAACAATCATGTTTGTAAAAGCATAAATAAACTTTTCATGTAAATACAAGTTCACTTTTTATCATTTCCTTTACTACAAGTAAGAACAAACTGTTTTCTTTTCGCTCTTAGATATTATATTCTTAATTGTGTTCATAACTATCATAATTAATGTACGGTAACACGAATATCTACTGTAGAAAATAAAATGTAAATTTATTTACATTATTTATTGACTTTCTCTTGAATTTTATTATACAGCACTTTGATATCGTTTTGATTAAAATAGCTATATAAAAATGCAGTAGCCGTGTATATGGATTACCTGCCTGTCTGTCTGTGAGGCAAGTATTTATTATAAGGCTTTATTGTACAATTATACAATTATACCTTTCTATTCTCTATTGCTTCCAGACTATAATCTTCAACTTTGTCCGTGTACCTACTGTCACCAATGTTTGAAGCAAATTCTGGGTTGTTCATCAACCTCCATTGCCAGAAGTCGTCGACAATCTTATCAAAATCATCGGCTCCGAACACTCCTGCTGAATAATTCAAAAACAATTATGACTAATAAAAAATCGAGTCGAGTTATTGGTTTATTTCTATGCAAACAGTGTCGAGTTATCGGTGTATAACTATACAATCAGTGTCGAGTTATCGGTTTATAGACATACAAACAGTATCGAGTTATTAGTTTATTACTATACAAAAGTGTCGAGTTATCGGTTTATTACTATACAAACAGTGTTGAGTTATCGGTTTATTTCTATACAAACAGTGTCGAGTTATCGGTTTATTACTAAACAATCATTGTCAAGTTAACGGTTTATAACTATACAAACAGTGTCGAGTTAACAATTTATTACTATACAATCAGTGTCGAGTTTACGGTTTATTACTATACAAACAGTGTCGAGTTAACGGTTTATTACTATACAAACAGTGTCGAGTTATCGGTTTATTACTAACCAATCAGTGTTGAGTTATCGGTTTATTACTAAACAATCAGTATCGAGTTAACAGTTTATTACTATACAAACAGTGTTGAGTTAACGGTTTATTTCTATACAAACAGTTTCGAGTTATCGGTTTATTACTAAACAATCATTGTCAAGTTAACGGTTTATTACTATAGAAACAGTGATGAGTTATCGGTTTATTACTATACAATCAGTGTTGAGTTATCGGTTTATTACTATATATACAGTGTCGAGTTAACGGTTTATTACTATAATAAAATTGGTTTTAATTTATCAGTTTATTACTATACAAACAGCGTTGAGTTATCGGCTTATAACTTTACAAACAGTGTCGGGTTATCGGTTTATTTCTATACAATCAGTGTCGAGTTATTGTTTTTTACAAAACAAACAGTGTCGAGTTATCGGTTTTTATTTGTTTGGGTCGTCAGACCAAACAAATAATGGTAGCGAAATTTCATTATTTGTCTGGGTCGTCAGACCAAACAAATAATGGTAGCGAAATTTCGTTATTTGTTTGGCTCGTCAGACCAAACAAATAATGGTAGCGAAATTTCAGACCCTGGTGTGCTTTATATGTACACTAACGCCGAAACATTAAGAGGAGATCACTGAGTAGAGATTTCAAATGACAGGCGCATTCATTTTCAAGCATTCTCGAGGAAGATAAAATGTTCCCGATGGTCGAATATTACTAATATTTTGTTATTCTTTATAGATATACATGCTTATATTAAGCTCCATGACTATTTACTTCAGTGTTAAACAACATGTTTACTGTGAACAAAATACAAATGTATATCGAAATTAATAAGGATTACACACCCTAATTTAGAATGATATGGTTTTCTTCAAGCCATTACCTTGAATCGAGGGGTTTACCTGATCGCTTAGGAAGCGAGAGGTCTGGAGTTCAAATCCCAGTTAAGGCATCTCTTTTTTATTTTTTTAAAATTTGTTTAAGCCAAATAAACATTGAATTGAACATCAGTGTTGCAATAAGTCTTATAGCCAATTTACTACAATTATAACACTGGAAACAGCATTGGTGGCACTATTCAAAAACAAATTGGTTGATAATCTCACCACCTTAACCGTTCTGACATTCTGAGACCCAAACAAATTCAGCGCCTTCTGTGCTTTGATTTCCTATATAAACAGTGTCGAGTTAACGGTTTATTACTATTCAATCAGTGTCAAGTTATCGGTTTATTACTAATAATAATTTACTATACATACAGTGGTGAGTTATCGGTTTATTAATATACGAACAGTGTCGAGTAATTGGTTTATTACTATACAATCAGTGTCAAGTTAACGGTTTATTACTATACAATAAGTGTTAAGATAACAGTTTATTACTATACAAACAGTGTTGAGTTAACAGTTTGTTACTATACAAACAGTGTCGAGTTATCGGTTTATTACTATACAATTAGTGTCGAGTTATTAGTTTATTACTATACAAACAGTGTTGTGTTATCGGTTTATTAATATACAAACAGTGCTTTGTTATCGGTTTATTATTATTAAACAAAAAGTGCCAAGAGATTGGTTCATTATTATACAATCAGTGTCGAGTTATTGCTTTATTTCTATGCAAACAGTGTCGAGTTATCGGTGTATAACTATACAATCAGTGTCGAGTTATCGGTTTATAGATATACAAACAGTATCGAGTTATTGGTTTATTACTATAAACAAGAGCAATCAGTGATCACATGTGTCGCCTCATGATGGCCAATTTCATTTTGGGACAAGTTTTGTGACAGACGGACAGACAGACGGACAGTGCACAAGTACACTTGGTACTGATCATTCCTGTAAAGTTTGGATGAAATTGCACCAGTAGTTTATGAGGAGTAGTGGGGACAAGCTTTTGTGTATCTGGCAACACACAGAAAAAAACACCTTTTTATCAAAGGGCCATAACTCGGCCAAAAATCATTTAACCGGAAAACACGTGCAACATGCGCAAAAGACTTGAGCTACAGATCAATCCTGTAAAGTTTCATTGAAATTGCATAAGTGGTATAAGACAAGTAGTCCGGACAAACTTTAAAAATAAAAAAATATTAAAGGGCCATAACTCTGACAAAAGTCATTGAACCGGAAAATTCTGACAATATGCACTACTAGACTTAGAACTGATCATTCCTGTAAAGTTTGAATGTAATTGCACCAGTAGTTTATGAGGAGTAGTCCGGACAAGCTTTTGTGTATCTGGCAACACACAGAAAAAACACTGTTTTTATCAAAGGGCCATAACTCAGCCAAAAATCATTTAACCGGAAAACCCGTGCTATATGCCCAAGGACTTAAGCTACAGATCAATCATGTAAAGTTTCATTGAAATTGCATGAGTGGTATAAGAGAAGTAGTCCGGACAAACTTTAAAAATAAAAAAAAAATATTAAAGGCCCATAACTCTGACAAAAGTCATTGAACCGGAAAATTCTGACAATATGCACTACTAGACTTAGAACTGATCATTCCTGTAAAGTTTGAATGTAATTGCACCAGTAGTTTATGAGGAGTAGTCCGGACAAGCTTTTGTGTATCTGGCAACACACAGAAAAAACACTGTTTTTATCAAAGGGCCATAACTCAGCCAAAAATCATTTAACCGGAAAACCCGTGCTATATGCCCAAGGACTTAAGCTACAGATCAATCATGTAAAGTTTCATTGAAACTGCATTAGTGGTATAAAAGAAGTAGTCCGGACAAACTTTAAAAATAAAAATTATTAAAGGACCATAACTCTGACAAAAATCATTGAACCGGAAAATGCTGACAATATGCACAACTAGTCTTGGTACTGATCATTCCTGTAAAGTTTGGATGAAATTGCACCAGTAGTTTATGAGGAGTAGTCCGGACAAGATTTGTGACGGACAGACGGACAGACGGACATACAGACGACGGAGAAGTTATCCCTATATGTCGCCACTACCCCGTAGAGGCGACACAAAAAGTGTCGAGTTATCGGTTTATTACTATACAAACAGTGATGAGTTATCGGCTTATTATTATACAAACAGTGTCGAGAGATCGGTTTATTACTATACAATCAGTGTCGAGTTATCTGTTTATTACTATACAATTAGTGTCGAGTTATCGGTTTATTACTCTACAATAAGTGTCGAGATATCGGTTTATTTCTATACAAACAGTGTCGAGTTATTTGTTTATTACTTTACAAACAGTGTCGAATTAACAGTCTATTACTAGAGTTATCGGTTTATTAATAAACAAACAATGTCGAGGTACTGGTTTATAACTATACAAACAAAGTCGAGTTATTTGTTTATTACTATACAAACAGTGTCGAGTTATTGGTTTATTACGATACAAACACTGTCGAGTTATTGGTTTATTACTACACAAACAATGTCGAGTTATTGGTTTATTACTATACATACAGTGTCGAGTTATCGGTTTTTTACTATACAATCAGTGTCGAGTTATTGGTTTATTACTATACAATCAGTGTCAAGTTAACGGTTTATTACTATACAGTCAGTGTCAAGTTTACAGTTTATTACTATACAATAAGTGTCGGGTTAACGGTTTATTACTATACAAACAGTGTCAAGTTTACAGTTTATTACTATACAATCAGTGTCAAGTTATCGGTTTATTACTATACAACAAATGTCGAGTTATGTGTTTATTACTATACAGTCAGTGTCAAGTTTACAGTTTATTACTATACAATCAGTGTCGAGTTAACGGTTTATTACTATACAGTCAGTGTCAAGTTTACAGTTTATTACTATACAATCAGTGTCGAGTTAACGGTTTATTACTATACAGTCAGTGTCAAGTTTACAGTTTATTACTATACAATCAGTGTCGAGTTAACGGTTTATTACTATACAGTCAGTGTCAAGTTTACAGTTTATTACTATACAATCAGTGTCGAGTTAACGGTTTATTACTATACAGTCAGTGTCAAGTTTACAGTTTATTACTATACAATCAGTGTCGAGTTAACGGTTTATTACTATACAGTCAGTGTCAAGTTTACAGTTTATTACTATACAATCAGTGTCGAGTTAACGGTTTATTACTATACAGTCAGTGTCAAGTTTACAGTTTATTACTATACAAAAGTGTCGAGTTATCGGTTTATTACTATACAACAAATGTCGAGTTATGTGTTTATTACGATACAAACAGATACCATGTTTATTGCTTGTCAGTCATTGTAGGCCTGTAAGTCAGACTGTCTGATTACAATTGCAAGGATCACACGTTATGAGTAGATGGTTTATATGTCTCGGTTTATAGGTGCAATGCACTTGATGAAAGCCTTTTGTTTCTCACTTTACATTTTTAAGACTCGGGGTTTAAAGCTTCTCACCCACACAAATTAGGTCTAATTGTTTACAGTTTTTTTAATATGCATAGAAGTATTGTCCAACAATATTGATCTAGCACTTCATTAAGGTCATTGCACACTGTGCACGACATCACGTCGAAAGACATTTGAAAGAATACGACAATTAAAAGAATGGACAAATGGTCGAATACGACAAAATATAGAAAGGAAATTTGA